TCCTGGCCATCAGATAACTTCATTTGATGATAAGATCTGATTCATTTAATGTATCTTTTTAATTACAAAATGCAGTTTAAATACAATTATCCCATTTACTGAACCTGAGGTGAGTTCGCTGTTCCCCCTGGCTAACATTCAGGCCCTGTCTCCATACAAATCTCATTCCAACTCAGATGATTAGGTCTGAACTTTAGGTTAGGTTAGAACTTTTCTCCTATGAACAAAGGTTGAGGGAAATGGGCTTGTTTAGCTTGGAGAAGAGAAGGCTCCAGGGCGACCTCATTGTGGGCTTCCAGTACATGAAGGGAGCATATAAACAGGAGGGGTAATGACTGTTTACAAGGGTGGATAGTGATAGGACAAGAGGGAACGGTTTTAAAACTGAGACAGGGAGGTTTAGGTTAGATACTAGGAGGAAGTTTTTCACACAGAGGGTGGTGATGCACTGGAACAGGTTGCCCAAGGAGGCTGTGGATGCCCCATCCCTGGAGGCATTCAAGGTCAGGCTGGATGTGGCTCTGGGCAGCCTGGTCTGCTGGTTGGTGACCCTGCACATAGCAGGGGGGGGTTAAACTCAATGATTATTGTGGTCCTTTTCAACCCAGGCCATTCTATGATTCTATGATTCTACGAACATTTTGCTTTGGGCTTTTAATCCATAAGCAGTCCTTAAGCAATCCTTACAATGACCGCATGCATGCAAAAACTCATGCTCGTGGCAGATAGATGCCAGCTAGAGGGCCCCTATGAATGATTTCTCTTATATCCAGAGCAGGAATCCACTTCTGTGCTACCTACTGAAGATCCTTTCCTCCAGGGGACAAAATAAGTGCTCCCATATTGTTCAATGACTGCTGTGAGATGAGATGGTGAGTGGTCTAGGTGGTCGAGCTCTATCTGCAGTCTACAAGAGGAGTCTTGAGAAAGAGTCCACATGAGGGTGGATACATCCCACTTTGTGTGTAAAGGAAGAAAACAGCCCAAGAAGTTTAGGCTTCCCAGCAGAAGGAAGATTTTCCTTCTCACTCGAACTTGACACTCAAACTGACTCTTCCGGACACTCAAAGAGAAAACAATTCTTAAGTGCACAAAATCCAAGTGGGTTGAATTGTAAAGAGCAGTTGCACCACCTATTTACAGGCATTGTGTTCTGCCAGGCTTGCTTTATTCATTCTCCTCCTGTCCCACTCCTGGTGACAGAAGAGAACACAACTTCGAACCCCAACTGCAATGTAATGTGGGAATGACAGAAAAAGTGTTATCCTATGTAACTGTGAACGTTTGCTGAAATGGCAGTTAAATAGCATTCAAAAGAAATCCCGGTCTGCATCATATCCCAGACATTTAATGGTCTCTGTAGTGATGTCATTAGCCCAATCTTATAAAAATAAGCTTTCATCTTCAGCTACTACGACCCTGAGAAATTCAACAGCACAGCTGGGTTCTGAGAAGACATCAAATCACATAATACTTGGGGATAGTCAGCTTAGTCTTACCTGCATTTAAAAGCAATTTTCTTGTCCTTAAATAATCTACACATGTTAATTAGAAGCTAGTAAAGTAGCTTAAATGCTGTGAAATTAGAATGAATTATTCATGTCATTTCTTGGCTGCAGCAGTTGCAGATAGTGTTTTTGTTTTGGGAAAGAAAAAAAAGAAAGACTTAAATAATGAGAAGAGAAAGAATATTATTAATTTGCTTTCTGAGGAATAGAAGCCTTTTCTGTTGAATGGGCTTTCAGTACAGAGGAGTACTTCAGATGAAAAAAACAGCCAATCCTTTAGCCAGTACATATTGACCAATCCTTAACCACTGACAAGCCTCTGACTGCTGTCAGAGATATCAGCAATTCAAAAAGAGCTTTTTGCAGGCTACATCACCTATGTTCTCTACCAAAATGTTTCCTGCAGCAGAAAAAGTAATTTGGGGGTTGCTGATTCAGGGGGGAATATTAGGTTACCCTACTAAGAAAGCTTTCTGTAAGGAGTGGCACAGATAGGTTCACTTCTCCTTGGGAGTAGAGGCTAACTTTGGTGATCTCTGAACATAAATCAGTACAAATGGCCCATGAGTCACTAATTCTGTCTGTGAAGAGCTGCACAATTAGATCTCTTTATCTCTTCCAACCTGGGTCTGAATAAAGAATATAGACGAAGATGAAAGGCAGAATTTAGAAATACTAATTGTGCAGATTTTGACTTAGAGCAACTAAGACAGACTTAGTAAGTAAGACTTAGAAAGAAAGATAATTAACGGAAACACAATTAAGCTATCCCAACAGGAGCCATCTTCAGCATCTCAGCTGGAACATGCTGTTCTGTTCTCACCAGGTAGAACAGTTCCAGTGTCATCCAAAGTCTTCAGCTAAAGAAATCAAACCCTCGTTTATGTGTTTGAAAACAAACCTAAAATCCAACAGGGAAAATGTCACATGGAAGTGAACACAGAGCAGCAGAAATTCAGGAATAAGAATGGAGGAAACAGTAACAGTGCTGCATCTGCATGTGTCTTTATTAGTGCAATTAATGCTTTATGGTACCTAAAGATGATGCAAATTTCTTTACTTGATCACAGGAAAATGTCCCTTAGTTGAAAATCAGAGAAGTCCTTCACCATGCTTGTAGTTGATACATAGAAGTGCTCAGGAGCCCAGGCAGATCATCCTTTATCACCCTCCTGCCACTTGCCCCCAAAGCTTACTTGCAGTGGGAGATTTTAGCCTGGTCATTGGGTTAGCAGTAAAAATGCAAGAGGCAGAAAAGAGATGCCCAGAGATCCAAAACATTTTGTCCAAAGAACAGGGGAATGCAGGAGATGCATAAACAAGCTTCATATGATATGAGTCTCCTACACAATGAGCAGCCTGGGGCTGTAACAGCCCACAGTCAGCTGTGGTGCCTCTCAATGATCATTGAGCAGCAGTCCTTTCCATTAAAGGGGTGAATTACTTTGCTTTTCTGCAGGACAGAAGTTTATTTTGGGGCCATTACTCAAAAGCTGATGGCATGTGGATAGTTGACAGCAAAGTGTACCCCGTAATGATGTGTCCATGTTCCTATTCTCAAAGTCAATGGCAGATACAGAACAGACCCGGTTTCAGCTCCCAGTTCAGTACCCTACTCACTAGACCACAAAATTGTTTTTTATATAGACAGACATATAAAGATACGGATGGATGGCTCAAAGCCTGATTTTATTGCCATATGGACACCTAAAAATTAGCATTTTAAAATGTAGAGGATTTTATCTCCTGCATATTAATAAGTCCAATCTTCTACAATGAGGCAATAATTAAATGGCCTATAAAAGCAGTTAGCATAAGTAGCAGTGAGATCTAACATAGCCTTCCAATGACTACAGAGGCAAGCACGATTTCTTATCATAATTTGCCTCCCCTACTACACAGCCATCTCAAATACTAGAGAACGATTGCTGGATCAGATATCTCACACAATGCTGTCCGTTCACCTCAGCCCTGAGTTGCTTTACATCATCTTCTCTTGCAAAATTTCTGCACCCTAAGAGGAAACTCACAGCGTTGTCAGAATCAGTTTCAGATATGACACTTTGTGTGCAGATTGACACCCCCAGTGAATGCACTTAAAATATCTATAACAGACTTTTTTCCCTCACCCTGCTCAGATTTGTGATTTCCTCTCCTGTTCTGATACTCTCACACACACGACAGAGTAACAACGTGCTCTTTCTGAGCTACTGTAGCTCAGTATGCCTTGTGACAGCAAGTAAAAGGGAGAAAAGATGCAAAGCACACACCAGGAGAAGCGAAACATACGTCTCCAACCGCACAAAATGCATTGGCTCAAATTCTCGGCAGTGCAGCTCCCACAGATTTCCTGGAACAACAAACATGATCTTTGTGCCTTGCTGGTCTCTGTAGATATCTGATCCATTTGGGGGGATGTAACTCTGGATTTGCCAGTCGTGAAGGCCCTGACTCTGTTTTCTCTCCACTTATTTTATCTGCTGCAGTGAAATGTAATACAGCAGAGAACATACTGACACCACCATATTTTGCAATGACACAAAGACAGATCAATAAACCTGTTGGATATTTGGCAGAAATGACAGTGCAGAAATCACAGCTATCACTCATCTCTGCAGCTGAAGTTCTTTGACATCTGGAACCACTAAGGATGGAGCAACCACAAGAGGAGTAAGTTACAGTAAGTTACAAACACGACTTAAAACTTTGAATTTCTATTTCCCTGGAAATTTTGGTATGTCAGCATTTCCAGTGAAACTGAAAGTCCATTAAATTGTACCAAAAAAAGAGATTGCAGGTGAGTCCGCACACACTGACAACATTTTTTTCCTCCAATTAATATGCTCCTTTTCTTCTTCAAAGCCTATTTCATTACAAACTCAAATAGGGGACACTTTGATCTAAAAAGTCAGGTGTTTTAGATCTGTGTTAATTAGCAGCTGTCCTTAAAGATTTCTACAATAAATTTGATGGAAAAATATGTTATAATTTGTCATGCTTGCTATATGCTTAGTATGAGAAAAACGTAAGTGAAGATGATGTCATGTCTAATATGAGAAAAGCATAGATGAAGATGATGTCATATGACACATCATCTATGTATCTATGTGTTGGACATACTGAAACACAAGTTTAGAAACAGGAAAGTGAAAATACAATAAATATAGTCTAAACCAATTGTTGAAGTTATCCAGAAATAAAATACTGCAATACCATGAAGTACTTATTTCCAAAGCATATTGCAACCTCAATTTAAAAATAAAATGAATAGAAAATGTAAACGAATTGTATACAATTTTTTTTTTTTTTTAATAACTTTTTTTTTCAGTTAGGAGCAAAATACTTTTTAGTAGGGTCTGCTTTCAAGGACCTGCTGACACGAAGGTCTTCTATAATGCAATAGGCCCTTTAAGAGAACTGCCTGCCCTCCAGCTCCACCCTGCAGCCAGTATATAAGTCAGAAAGATGGCCTGAGGTGGTTGATGGGAGTCTGAGCTCCTGCAAGAGGTGCTTTGAGATTGTGGGCTGCTTGGACTGTGCTGGCTGCTCAGCTGTATGGAGACAACCACCAAGGCAAAGGTACTGCTGGGGTATCTGAGTGAGCAGATGATGGGCAGCTGATCTACTTTGTCTTTTGGAAGCTCTGAAATGCAGTGTATGTCTTAGAAAAGACTTGATGGAGAGTGAGCAGTGGGTGACTGGGAAGTTTGTAACATGTCTGCTTTTATTTCAGCAAAGTTTAGGCTTTGCTGAAATAGTCACCCTCTGTGTTTCTGTAGCAATTGGTCTTTAAATGCTCTGGAAGTGCTGCCTGGTATTTTTGGGGTGTTATCTGGTAGCTCGTGGCTGGTTCCTCTCTGCAGGAGAGAAACTGAGGTCTACCAGCTGTCTGGTGTCAGTTACAAAGCAGATCTGGAAGGCAGGATCCTGGTTTTGCTGGTCTCTAGGACTGACTAGGGAGTTGTGGTCCTTTCTTTTCAAGCCGTGTAAGGAGTAAGCTGTAGCATGTGACTTAACATACTAAAAATGTGCTTTAAATGCCTTGCACTAATTCTGGCAGTTGTCCTCAGTATTTTCTTGTTTTAAGATGCCTAAAATATGAATAATCAGGACAGAAGGAGAAGGTCAAGGGATCAGGCATTACATATCCAGGAGAAGCAGGAAGGAATAGCATTTGGGAAACAGAATTATTTTCCTCGAATGAACTCTTGACATGGATGAGAATTAACTTTGCCAAACCCAGATGGTGCTGCAAGGAACAGGGAAGTTAATTCTTCCTATTGCTGAAGCGCAGTATAACCTATTTGTCCTTTATCTGTTCTCATTATGTGGTGATGAGATCAAAGCTGACATCTGGCTGCAGTTTTGCTGAAACCGGGCAAGTGATATTCTGCTGCATTCATGTAGAGAAAATATATAGAGAGAGAGCAAAGCTACTGGTGCTGCCTCACAAAAGCTTTGGTGTTTGGAAGGTATCTTACATTCTGTAGTAACTGCAGCTGCCTGTGATATTGCATTATCCTAATAGCTAATGGATTAAACAAGATTATGTTCTGAAATGCATTGATCATCTTAGCCTTATTGGTATATTAAAATATGGGCCAATTTTTGTACTGGTCTGATATTTACATCTGTGCAAAAAGATGACAAAGTTGTACTTGTGTAGCACAGTCCCTGTCATGCTCTGGTTGCAGAGGGGAGAGCTCCTCTATTTCCAGCTCATTCTCATTCCCTGGTGCGTGCTGTTGTGACGCACTCATTTAATTCTTGAGGGCTGCAGTTCAATGTCAGTGTATTGCTCTTGATAGATTGTACACAGCCTGTTTAGCTGTGCTAAACACTTCAGATATCTGTAATAGAAAAGGTAGAGAAACGGGTCTGGAGTGTACCAGAAACAAATTTTAAACTGCTCTCCTTGTTGAAGATTATTCCTGGCTGCATCCTCTAGGTGAAGCTGAAGGGTCCTATGCTGCAGCAGAGCCAAGTACTGGGGTGGGAGTGCTGGCAAAGGTGGGCTGTGCACTGTCAGACCTCATCCGGCCTCCAGGCTGCATCCTGGGTTCTGAATGTCTGACTGCAGGGTGATAGTGTCTCCTAAGAAGGGTAGTAAACAGCATCGTTCAACTAATAGAGTACTCTGTAACTGCTTCTGGAATGTGATGCGTCCTTAGGAGGAGAGCACTTACAGCTTTGAAATTTTCCTCTTTTTTGACAGTATCCTGATTATTTCAACAACAACAACAAGAACATTATATGTTCTTGTGTCTGTATTTTCTGCTGTTAGTTGTAGCAAGGGCCTTGGCCTTTAGCAGTCTTTCTAGCTGCTAAGTACCTAGAGAGTAGTAGAAGCTGAGCTGTAGTAGTAGGTACTTGAGCACTCTGCAGGTTTGAGTACTCTGTTTTGAATAGGGCTGCTGTGGGTATACCTGAGCATCCAGCTGGTGAGCACTGTGCCATGTGAGGCAGTGTGCCTTGGCCAACAGGCTTCTGTCAGTGCCTGTGGAGCTCCTCAGCCATTTCTAGTCTTGAAACCATAATAAATGACAGGAAATGATATCACCTTTTTTTTTTTTTTTTTTTCCCCTTGCCAGTAACTTTTTAAGGCTGGTCTATGCTTTATAAAATCAGATACATGTTCTCACTCCACTTGCACACTGGTTTGTAAGCTGCTTCTGGAGAAGACTTCTGTGCCTGGCATGGGAAAAAGAATAAAAGGGGAATTTCAGTTTTTCTTCAGGCATATTACATTTCTCCAGGCTCCTTTCATATCGCCCAGAGTGGTTATATGGAAAGGATGATATCTTGGCCCTCCTTTGTCACTTAAGATGGTTGTAAAGTACTGTATTGCTACAAAAGACAAGTTTAATGTTCTCAACTTCTAATCAAATATCATTTATGTTAGATAAAAGTGGTACTGAATAGCAAGCTTCAGATGTGCAGATATTAAACATCCTGAGTATGCAAATAGGGTCTTAAATGATCATTTAAAAAATGGTTAAATGGCTCTTCCTTATTACACTGAAGTAATTCATAGGTCTGAAGGTGATACTGAATGCACTAAAATAGTGAGAGCATCTAAATACCTCATAATATAGGACTAAATTACTTATCTCACAGAAGGTAATTCCTGGAGGCAGATGGGACTACTAAAAATTCATTCCACTGCTCTTCTGCTTTGTGAAAGGGGCTGCAATGGTGACTGTACAATGCAAAGCTGGTGAATATGCTTTATCTTCAGGGACAAATTAAATTAGTGGGTGTATAGATGGCACATAGTGGGCCAAATTCCTTCTTGATAGATCCCACTGAAGCACATTCTTTGTTGTGCTTCCCTGACAACAGCAAGTAGCAGTATGAGAAGCAATCTATCACAGCCATGCTTCATAGGGAGATTTAAGGTATCTTATTAGATAAGCAAATTATCGTGAACACATCATGTAAACTACAGCATGCATGTGGGGTTTATACCACTTCCGAGGACAGAATATCCCTAAGTATGACAGTTGGATGCTGTGAGGTTATTTCTCTGCCTTTCCCTCATTAGACCTGAATTCACAGCTTCAGTCTGTAGACAAAATTGCTGTTCTCTGAAGGATTTCAAACATTATGTGAAATAAGACTTAGCCTAACTGAGGTTTGCCAGCTTCCCCAAAGTATCTGCACGTGATACCAGACAAATCTCCACTGTTAGACAGCCTCAAGCAGAATATAACATTTGAGGTCTACAATTTCTGAAATATCCATCTTTCAAATGAGACTGGATCTCAGAGCCAAGCTCTAGATATTTCTGATGTTTAGAAGAACATGAAGCTGGAGTCATACTTGGGTTTAAAGATCTCCCTCTAATACTGACATGAAATTATCTTGGGAGCAACACAGAGGGGTCTAAGGAATTTAGAAAGGTCTTTGTTCCTCAGCACTCAGACACATTGAAAGCCTTTCTGTCTCTCTTCCTTCTATTTGCTGGGCTTTTATAAGATCTTATGATCCATTTCAAAGAGAAAGCATTCCTTCAACCCTTAAACTGTTTGAAGAAATAAAAGCAAATAGTTTAAAAGTTCTGTTTACTCAGTTTTCCACGTTAGGAAAAAAAGATCCATCATGTTTGGCTCAGTTGTCAGTGGAGGACGTCAGGGATTTGCTTTGTGCATGGATTGACTCCTTTGTAGTGGTGAATGCAGATGTACTGTGGGTCAGAGGCTGGTGTCAGAGTGAATTCTCATTCTCATATTGATGCCATGCATGAAGGGATAAGTATTCTGGTGTTGGTAGGCTTCTGGTAGTAGCATTTAGAGGGGTATTTAGGGCTGGAGCTGCATCAGACAAATGTAATTAGACTATCATGGAATCACAGAACGGCTTTAGGTTGGAGGGAACCTTGAAGATCGAATTCCAACTGCTTTGCTATGGGAAAGGCTGCCTCCCACCAGATCAGGCTGCCCAGGATCCCATAAAACCTGGCCTTGAGTGCCTCCAGAGATGGGGCCCCAAAACCTCCCTGGGCAGCCTGTTCCAGTGCCTTACCACCCTCTAAGTAAATAGTTTTTTCCCACACCTAACCTAAATTACCCCTCGTCTAGTCTAAAGCCAATCCCCCTTGTCCTACCTCTATGAGATAGTGTAAAAAGTTGGTATTCCTTGTGCTTATAAGCTCTCTTCAAAGTACTGGAAGACCACACATGTTTCTGTACAAAACAGCTTTCTGAGAAAATCTATGAGCTCCTCTGCACTGCCTCTGAGATTAGGTGTTGTCTATCCTAGGCAATTTCTGCAAGTATTTTATTTGCACTGCCAATTAGTTTGGAACCACAATGCTGCTTTATTAATTATGAATGAGCACACTACCTCCTCAAACCATGTTTGGGTCTGGTTTAAATCATGTGTTTCCTTTCAGCATTGACTCTGGTGCTTCTCTGGTCTCTCATCTGGTTAAGCGAGATCAGAAACAAGCCCTCAAAACCCAATTTCTGAATATAAATTGAAAAACTGTTTGCTGCTTTTTACTTGTATTCAGGTTCAGTCAAAACAACCTAGTAACTTTCAGATGCTTTAGGATGTGCCTTGGGATTAACATTCAAATTACGTGGGTATTTTCGGATAGCTACTTTGCATTGTTCAGTGGTAAGAAAATATTGGAGAAGAGATTCTTGCTGCTTTTCCTCCAGCCATTCTATTGCAGAGAAGAAAATTTTCCATTAGGCATATAGGATACACATAATTATTTAAGAACAAAGAGTAAATAAAAATAATAACCAAAAATAAACTGTAAGAACATGCCACGTTGTTATTTGTCCTTTAATGTTTTCAAAGCATTTGCACTTCAAAACACACTAATCTGTCCACTTTGATTTATTTTTATTGAAATACAAATCAAAATCGAAGCCCAAGGAAAGGGAGTTGTTTTTTTTTTTTTTTTTTTTTTTTTTTTTTTTTTTAGCCTGTGGCAGAGAAACGATTTTAATCTTTTGGGTGCCAAGGACAAAAAATGTATTAAAGAATGGAATTAGAAGGCAGAGAGATGAAGATGACAAAATAGCAAAGAACAAGCACAGCTTTGCAGAGAGAAGCCATGCCTAAAA